TGCCTCATTAAATGGGCATTTGTTAATATATTTAGTTGATAATAAAGAAATTGCTGTATAAAAATTAGAATTTAATATTTTTCTTTCATTTATTTATACACGGTAATATAATATTTTATCTCTTCATGAAAATACATTTATATTCAAAAATATTACCATTAGATAATATAATTTGTCATTTATTTTAATTTATTAATATTTCCGTAAAAAAATTTAACAAGCTTCTTAGTATAAAGAATTTTCATTTTTAATATAAAAATTTCTCATCCTAATATAAGTAATTAAATTCAAATGTTACAAACGTTTTCTCGAATTAGTTATCTACGCAAAAAAAACTATAAATAACTGTAGATAAGTTGCTGTAATAAAGATGTTATTATGAATGTGTTACAGAATAATATTGAATCTCCAATGTATTTACTGTCTATTGTTAAACAGATAAACGAAAAGAGCTGTCAACTTGAAAAACGAAATATATAAAAAGCTTAAACTTTCATTCACTTCTGGAAGTTAATGATTTAATGAAAAAAGTGTTGAAATAACTTACCGAGCTTAGAAATATATATTGGAAAATTTGTTAGTATCATAATACAATTTTCTAATCTAATCTAGCATATTTTTTCAAAATAAAAGGAGAATTATTAATCGTGTAAGTATTTAGTATAAATATTTTAATTCTGTAACTTAACAAAATAATTGGTAATTTCTTGAAAATGACTTAAGAAATTCCTGCATTTTTTCGTGTTCCAATAATCTTATTTTCTTAATTTACAAGGAAGGTAATATGTAACATTGCACTTGTACGTTTTGACATTCTAAGTGAGAAAATAATTTCTTTAGTTAAAAGATATTATTTTAGAATAAATGATTTTGAAAGTATTGTTATTTATATCGATTGAAACCCTTAATATTGTAATAAATAAATATTTTACATTTATTTCTTCAACAATTTGAATTATTTATGTTGATTTTGCCAATTTTGATCATCGGTTCGAATGTAATTAAACTCGCTACTTTTAATCGTAAAGAGTATATCAAAGTATCCGCTCTTTTTACACAATCGGTATTTCAGACTACTGGTCACGAACTCCCATACATACCTACATATTCGAAGTCTGTGCTCATAAGGTGTCCAGTTTATCTCGTTTTTCGTTAACAGTGTCATCATAGAATCGCCAGATGGTAAACTAAATCTCTTCCTGTAATGGTTTATCAATGATTGTCTTAAATTTTATAAAAATGAAGTTTCTACTGAGAAAAGTTAAGTAAAAGATTCAATAAAGCATTGAATGTCTTAATTTATTTATAGTATTATCCAGTTTCTAATAAACAAAATAGAATATTTCATATATTGCCATTGGATGGCAGTTTGTCGACGGATCATTACCAACACCAATCTATTCTACTAATTTATACATTATCTAATAATTTATAGATTGATATCCTTAATAAGTGACTTTTTACTTAAAATTAGTGACTCTCTGTTTTTAATTCGGCAAATTTCAAAAATTTATAATGAACATGTTTAAACACAATTCGCGTTTAATATTTTTCATTATGTCTTTGAACATTGTAACTTTATTAGTGACTTTTATATCGTATTTATGATATATTTCATTAAATTTTAAATATTAAAATCATATTGTAGGTATATGTGAAGTATAGATAATAATATGGTTTTGACTATTTTGGAATAAGGGTCGTGGAGGCAATAGAATTCGCAGCCTGTCTCTTTGATAATGTTAAAGGGTGAATTGTATCTCAATAGCTTTGATATCATCTTGCAGAAATGAGGGGTTTGAAAAGTGATTCCATTTGACCAGTAATACAGGTATGGATTCCACAGTGTTACATTCGACTTGGTGGTTCAGGTTTCGGATATGGATACATTAATTGGATGTATTCAAGTCCCGCGTCCATAGATGCCGAACAGGTAAACCCTTTGAATAGATATTCTATATAAAGCTTTACGGTAATTTGGTTGTAAAATCCATATTGTTTTGCAACTTTTATGTTTGTCGTTGAAAACTAGTACGGTTGTATAAAATTATAAAGTTATGTATTTATTCGTGCAAAGTAATTTTATTTCTATTTGATGTAAAATAACCATGTTAATCTTTCATCTTCTATTTCTTATTCGAAAATCCATATTTAGATAATGATATACGCGTTTTCATCTTGCTGTTAATTGTCTAAATGGCTGGTTGATCAATAGCAGGTGAATAATTAATAAGTACAAATTATTGTGTAAATGATTGTACACGAACAGTAACGCCATTCATTTAGAGCTGTAGCAACGTTCCAGTATTGATATTCGATGTTACGTACAGCTTTCTATTTATAGGGCGTCAATTGAAATTTTGTACACATTGATCGAGGATACCATTTGCCTACATCAAATTTGAAAAATCCTGCTTCACGTAGAATTTTCGTTGGAAATGCATATTAATTAAATTCATGTCTGCCGTAACTGTTTGAATTTATACGTATGAAATTATGTACAGAAAGCAATATAGAATTGTTTCACACGATAATGATTTGCTTGAACTATGGAAAGTCAACATATTACATGATTACTGCAACTGTAATTAGCGAACATTAGATGTCCGTATCGAATGAGAAAGTTTAGACGAAGATAAACATTTACCACTAACTTCGGCAGATCATCAAAACTATTATCATCGCTTTATGAACAAGTTTCTCAATGAATATTTAAACCACTTGAGAATTTCCGGTAAATATTGGTGTTTCGTGGTAAATATATTCCCCGAATGCAATCGTTATGGTTGCATTATTTTTTAACTACTGCCTTTCAAATAAGTTATTTTAAATCCAAATTTAGTTACGAATTTTTGTAGAGAATTTTTTATTCATTGCATTCAAATGAGAAAATGTGTTTCATCGAAAATTATATAGCAATATATACTTATTGGTATATATAATATATTATCAAAAATAGAATAAGGAATTTATTTTAAGTAACGATACATGTTAATTAAAATTTTGTGAACAATGTGAAGATTTATATGTCGAATTTGTTTCTTACACATGTATTCAAGAATGTTTCACGTAACTATTAGATAGTTGACTTTTTCATGATTAATTTATTAACTACCTATTGCAAAGACGATGTCTAAGGAAATGTTTATATACACTGTTTTAATTATAGAATCCGTTGAGATGAAGATGATATTTTTATCGTCGTTATTTCAAGGTCCCTTAAAGGTCAACTTGCTTTTTCAGCGCGTTAACTGTGGCAGTTCCTTTTTTGGACTTTTATATTCAGCGGTACCGATAAATTGGGTCACGTATTAAAATCTCATGCACAGAGACAGGGAGCAAATCTAAACTCGACGCATTGTTCTCTCATAAAATTGAACAATATTAAGGGAACGATAGATTTCATCATTTGTTGATAAAAACACGCAATGTCCATAACATTGTAACAGCAACAATATTTCCATATTTCCTTGTACATTTCAACAAACCACACTGAAAATAATATTTATGCTTGTGTATATTATGTAATCAAAAGTATTGCCCGTCTTATTACTTCTAGTTCCAAAGTTTAACATGTATGCAGTGTGTTATTAGTAAATACACGCGTATAGGTAAATACAAATTGACTGATAATTTGATTAAATTATTCAATAGAGTTATTGGTTTCACG